CTTTCAGAACACTAGCAAGGGCTGGTTTTCATTATCATGACTTTAGGAATTTATTAAATAAATGGAACAGAAAAGACAGATGAATTGCTCAAAACTGTCTCTGGGAGTGAGCAGAAACTGAAATGGCATTTGATCTTTTATTGTAAGTATCTTCACTTCAAAATAATAAGAGGGTGGCTTTGGGCTAAGAGTCTAAAGAACTAGTTATGAAATCCAGCAACAATACAATTTGCCTTATAGCTTTGGTTCTCATTGTTTTTAAAGTGATGGTCCATGATGGCCATTTATTCACTACTCAGCTCCGTGTTGGTCAACACAATTAGTACATTCTTAGGCTTGCCTGCCGGTAAGAAAATATTTATTTTTCCTCAAGTTGCTACTTTTTTTTTATTTAAAATATATTTTATTAATTTTTTATAGAGAGGAAGGGAGAGAGAGAGAGAGTCAGAAACATCGATGAGAGAGAAACATCGATCAGCTGCCTCCTGCACATCCCCCAGTGGGGATGTGCCCGCAACCCAGGTACATGCCCTTGACCGGAATCGAACCCGGGACCCTTCAGTCCGCAGGCCGACGCTCTATCCACTGAGCCAAACCGGTTTCGGCCTCAAGTTGCTACTTTTAATCATCTCTAACTTTCCATGTTCAAATGCAAATTAATCCTCATTTTAAAATTCTACTTCTTTATTTTTCTACAGAGTCATGTGTGTCCAGCAGCCCAACTATATATTCATTCATCTAACAAACAATTATTGAACAACTCTATGCAGAGTCCTGGTTTTGGTGCAGCAAGATGTATAAAATGTTATTCCTGCTCCTATGAGTTTGTGAGTTGGAAACAGGAGGCTATGACAAAGAATCAGATAGACAGAAATGTTACGGTAGAGGCACAGGCAGCGTGCTGTGGAAATTCATAGAGAGAGAAGGACTTGGCACTTGAGGGGTTTCCCAAAGAGTGGAGTTTCCTGAGACTTGTAACCATTTACATAATTTCACCAGGGGTAACCATAGCAAGAACAAAGTCTAGGGGTTGAGAGGTGGAGGGCTGGAGAGCAGGCTTGCTTTGGGTGCAGTGAGGGTGGCTTAGATGAGTGGGGTTGAAGCAGACACAGTGTTATAAGTATCAGGTAGAGCAGTGCTTGGGCCCAGTGATGGCAAGCAGCAGCTGCACAGCCACCTGTGTTTACAGAGCTTCTCAGCGAGGGTGCAAAGGGAAGGTCCTGCAGTGGCTCTAGGATGCAGCCTCTCTCTGGAACCTGCTGCCATCACATTGCCAAGGTACTGTATCTGCTTTACCTGAAACCCAAGCTTCTATTGCTGAGCATCCATGTCATCTTGCCTTATCCTCAAAGAGTGGGAGAAAAGAGGTCACTCCTCTGCACATAATGTGCATTAGGCTCTTGAAGACGGAGCTCCAGCCCTCAGTTTTTCTCTAGAGAAAATGACTGGAGAAATCCAAGAAGTTTGTGGGGACCACAGGAGACAGTCATAGAAAAGACATAGAGTCTGGAAAATGCAAGGGCCACTCTTGTAATCAGCTAATATTGAGGGTGCACTCACGACACCATGCACTCCAGAGCAGTGACAGCAATGCTATATAACAGTATATACAATATTGCAACATGTGGTTCCCAACCAGGCTGGCAGGGGCTTGGAAATGTGTGTGCACATGCCAGGTAGGTGTTTAGTGGAAAGGGACCAAAGATGCTAAACAGCCTGCCCGGTGTCACTCTGTCCTTGAGAACAAAAAGGTGTTTTGCCCCCTCCGTGATTCTTGAGTTTATTAGTTGACTTTGAAAATAGGTAGGTAGCCATTACTAAAATGAGATCATTTATCTAATCTCACTGATCCGAAGCGCAGTCTCCACCCACAGTATTCACGGGACAAATAGTGTTGCATGACACTGTAGGTCGAAGGGCTTGGACATGGCGGGAAGGCTTTCTGCACAGGGAACTTCAGACTAATGACCAGTCCCATGGTGCCTCCCTGGGCTGACAGCTGGCTGCCCTGTGCCAGTGCTCTCTGCAGGTAATACAGGCAGTGACGGGTAATGGTTGGGGACTTCTCGCTGGCCAGCTGTGGGTCAGTGTAAGGCATGGATTCACTTTGGTGGCAATATCCATCAGCCATAGCAGGTCTGAAGAATTTGAAGAGCACCTGGGGGCATGGGTAGTAACGTTAACAGTTGACTCCATTTTATTGCTTGGTCATGCACTGGGTATTCTCGAAACACATGGCCACTGGACACTGATATCCCAGCCACCAGCCTTGAGGACATTCCATTCCTGAGTGGAGAAGGGTCTGAGAAATCTTGCACCTTTGGAAATAATGTAACTGCCAGTAAATCAGTCTACAGCAGTTACAACTGGCCCTTCAACAGTTACAAACAGCAAGAGATTATCTGAGGCGTCGGAGCTTAGCAGCATGCCTGCGCCACTCCAACCAGCTGGAGGCCTTATCAGTGGGCCCAGCTCTGCAGCTGACAGCCCACCTGGTATGTGAAGCAGCCTGAGTTGCCAGGGAGCATTTTAGGATCCAGTGAGCATATGCATTAGAAACCCATGTCTTTACCATATTTCCATGTCTTTTAGCACCTAGTATGTGCCTGCAATGTAGGTGAACTGGGGATACCTCACTAAACACTGTGTTTAAGTAGAATCCTGAAGGATTGTCAGTAAAAAGGACTTGTGAGTTTTTTTGTGTGGAGGGTTTAAAAGTACCCACGCTACATCTCAGGTATGCAAGAGACTCAGCATGAACTACTCTGTAACTGACCTTATCATGCTCACCTTCTGGAATGGGGGGTACTTAAACTTACTATTCAGGGAGACATTATAAGACTAAAATACTTGGAGAGCCATCACCTCTGAATATTACCCTTCCCCAGTGACCTGTGACATTATCATTCACATTTGAGAAGAGGGAACAAAGACACTCTCCTTAGAGGTTTGCCTCTTGTTCACTTTCTCCCCTGTCATTCACGGAATCCAGGTTCTCAATCCACCTCCATTAATTTTATCATAAGCTTATGGAGGACGAGGGGGTACAATGTCTGTTTCCCTGAGTGAATCCCCCTGGGGTGGCCAATGAATTCTTAAGAACCACACGGACACTTTTGTCTGACTGGCCCAGTGGACTTTAACTGCTGGGCCTTTCAAAGGTGGGCTTTGTTCTGTGTAACCCATGTTCTTGATGCTTGCTTCCGAGTACATATGGGTGTTTCTTAAAGTCAGTAAATGCCTCTTAGTAGTATTTCTTTTCAAAAAGCACCTGCCTAATTTCCTGAATCAATGGTTTTTCTCAGTGATGTTTGGTTTTGCAAAGAGATTTACTCATTTGGATGCTGTGTTAGGTCCACATAGAGAATGAAGCTTTGACTTATGTCCCTCTAGTTGATTCCCCCCCTCCCCCCCAATACAAAACATTGGCAAAAAAGGGAAAGTTTAAGTACAAAATTTATTGCAGTAAGAGATTAAAACAATTTTCTTATGTAAACCAAAATTAACATTTGTTTCACGGGACTGCCAGTAGTTGGAAAAACTGTCTATTACAATTGCACAGTCTGGCTGAAAGCCCAGCGATAGGGCTTGCTCAGGTCAGTGAGTGTGCTCAGACCCCAGGGAAATTTCAGGACTACTGGCTCACTAGAGGGAAAGACACAATGAGACAATTGCATTGCTTACAAATGATCACCTTCCTGTTTGACAACCTGCATATTCAGTTGTGACCTTGATGTCAAGAATTCAAATCACAGATGCCCAAATTCATGCTTCTTGTAAATGGACCAGGATTTCCTTTTATGTGGCTTCCTGTGTATTTTTCAGCAATAACAGAGAAGAGAAGGCCAAGGGGCCCCATCCCATCTCAATACCCCTCTTCCTCCTTGAAAGATCTTCATCCTTCTTATCACTGTCCAAATCCTCCTGTGCCCATTCACCAGCTGCTGCCTGTTACCGCTAGGAATCATCTTCCATCATCAGTATGATGATCAGATGAAAGGGAACTACACCAAGAGGGGAGAGCCAAGCTCCTGGGCAGAAAACCTGGAGGCCGCGTTTACATTTTATTTTATTTTTTTTAATATATATATTTTTATATATATTTTATTGATTTTTTACAGAGAGGAAGGGAGAGAGAGAGAGAGTTAGAAACATCGATGAGAAAGAAACATCGATCAGCTGCCTCCTGCACACCCCCTATTGGGGATGTGCCCGCAACCAAGGTACATGCCCTTGACTGGAATCGAACCCGGGACCTTTCCGTGCGCAGGCCGACGCTCTATCCACTGAGCCAAACCGGTTAGGGCCGCGTTTACATTTTAAAGGAGAATCCAGAAGATGAACTCTAAAGCAACCTCTGCTGCCTTTTCAGGTGCTTTAACGGATTGCTCCACTTCCTGTGAGGGCCCACTTTCTGAAGGGGGAGAGAAGTCCAAACTGCTCTCTGTGAGGAGGGAAGTAAGACTGGGTAAATAGCATAAAAATCGGAAGTAAATGCATCCCTCTCTATGGGGCTTCCTTCATCTTCCTGGAAATAGCTATGTTATTGGACAAGTTTCGTAACTTCTCAAAGCCTCAGTTTATGCATGTGTAAAATGGGAATAACCATTGCACACATCTCTGAAGGCAATCAGGGGGGCTAAATAAAAAGCACAGAAAGTTCATAGCACAGAACATGCCATATAAAAAGGATTCCATAATGGCTAGCTATCAATCCCAGCGTAAATCCTTCACTCGATAGAGGAGAAAACTGAGGCCCAGAGAGAGAAGATTCTTATCCAAGCTCTAAAACAGGGGTCCTCAAACTTTTTAAACAGGGGGCCAGTTCACTGTCCCTCAGACCATTGGAGGGCCGGACTATAGTTTAAAAAAAAACTATGAACAAATTCCTGTGCACACTGCACATATCTTATTTTGAAGTAAAAAAACAAAATGGGAACAAATACAATATTTGTATTTGAATGTGGCCCGCGGGCCATAGTTTGAGGACCCCTGCTCTAAAGCATCAGGCTGTATGCCTTTCCACACCCTGCCATCCCACTTGTCCCCTTATAGTAAAATAGAATATAATGAAGCTGACAAGATTTCTTAGAGGCTCAAGGTCCCCTCAGGGTGCTCTTGCATGGGGTCACGGACGTGGCTTTTCCTCCCACAATCCCTTGCCTGCTTTCGTTTTTAGCAGCTGTGTGCCATGAGGGGCCGTCCTGGGTGCCGGAGAGCTTCCTCTGCTTCAGCACTCTCGGCTTTGCCTCTGGGCATCTTTCCATGGTGTTGCTGCCGCCACCCCGTCCACTACAGACTCGGCATAGGATGGTGGTGCCTCTTGGTGAGCACCGCTTTCAACCTCAAATCCAAGGTCCATCTCTGTGTACAGAGGTGGAGGGATATCCACGGCCTCTCCTTCTGCAGGACAGGTTTGCTTTCCAGCATCCAGACTTTCTTCATAAGCAGGAGGGTAAAAATCTGGCCTGGGGGACAAAATGCCACAAACATGTACATGTTATTCAAGTGGTTCAGGCCAGAGAGGCATATGATTGCCCCTCTCAGATCACACTGCAAAGTGAAACTGTTGAGAAACATTGATTTTGAAACAGATGTATTTCTTCCCTGGCATTACCAGTTTTTAAAAAACATGTCGCTCTCCCAGCAGAGCTCTCAGCCATAAGATATGGGTCCCTGTAGTCACACTTTCCCCCAGTGGGTTATTCCAGGTTATTGGTTACCTGTTGGAACCAATACTTCCAGAGTGAGATCCTTAGCAGGGGTAGGCAACATGAGGGCCTGAACTGTGGAACTTCTCTACCCAATTATTCAGTCCATTCACATCCTACCTCCATTCACCCATATAATCATCTACTCAATTGCATTCACAGTCTCAGATCCTCACAGCCAATAAAATAATGAATGTAAACCAGTTCCATGAAGTTCCCTGCATTACATCAGATGCTTGTCTCTTTCCCATTGCTTTTTCAAGTCTCGGCAGCTAGTTAAAAAAAAACAAAAACAAAACAACTAATTTCCCAAGCGATTTGAACTGAGAACTTTATGTAGATTTCAGTTGCAACTTTTTTCAATACCATCAGACCAATGGCTAACAGAGCCATGCATGTCTGAGCTGGTAATCTTGCCCAGTGTTGCTAATTGCTGAATGCTCCCAGCTTCTCCATTATGAATGGGATTGGGGGTGGCATGGAGGTGAGGCAGAGAGAGGGTGAGCTTGGTTGAGCTGTGTATTTACAGAGTGAATTATTCCAGTGCCTACAGGGAGTGTTTGTGATATGTAACCACAACAGAACAGGGACTGCCATCTGTAGGCACAGCTCCTTCCAAATGTAACCAGGCCCAAAGCCAAATGGCTGAAGCCACTGTCTACTGTACAGCCCACATCTCAGCCTTCACTCAGAACGGCCAAGGCTGTGTCATGGGGCATATGTGTTAAGACACTGGAAACAGTAAGGTGAGCTGTCCCCTAAAGCAGCGGTCGCCAACTTTTCGGACCTCACAGACCACCGGTTGGCGACTGCACCACTAAAGTGATTTGAGAGGCTCCAGGATGACTGCTGCCTGCCCCCCAAATCCCATTCACCTCTCCCAACCCTCCTCACCCCCAGCAGTTTCATTCCCAGTGCCCTGGGTTCTACCACTGCAAGCCCATTTGCTTTTAGGATCTGTTTTTGTTCATCAGTTTCTGTTGTTCCCCATTTGCTTTTAATTCCTCAATGTGGGTACCCATTTGAATGCAAATGCTTCTGGGAACTGTAACTTCCCATTGGCTGACTTGCTAGCCATTTTGACCGAGCTGGGCATCTACTAGATGCAGTAGGAAGAGACAATAAACAGGGGCATCATGCTGTCTATGATTTAAGGCATTTCTGCACAGTGTGATGCTATGTATGTATTAATAAATTTAGGCTACACCCAAAAGGTAATCAATTACTCTTATCAGGAATTTCATACTCTGGAGGCAATTACCTAACATTTATGCAAAATAAAATCAGCATTCTAGATGCATCTTCTAAAATCACTTCAGTTATCTCAACATTTTATCAAACCCAGAGTCCTTGCTGGTAAGTATAATAAACATCAGAAATGGGCTTGGGTTATTATAATTAGTATCATTAATTAGCATAATGTCAAAAATCAAGTCATGGGTAAAAGTGCACTACGTATTCAAAATACACGGAGTAGCAAAATATACAGAGTAACTAAAGTAATTTAGATGAAGAGGGTAAAAGATTTTATGTAGTCTTGCAGCCCGTACCGTAAGGATGTTGCCTGATGTTTTATCCCTAAATGGTCCTGCGGTCAGCCAAGAATTAGGAGGTTTGGGGTTGTCAGACACTAACCATGAGATTAACTGAAATGTTTTAATGTGGTAAAATATATAACAAAATTTACTGCATTGGCCAGTGTGCAGTTCACGACACTAAGTACATTCACATTAAATGCACCCATCACCACTATTATCTCCAAGTGCCCATTAAACAGTTACTCCCCATCCCCCCGCCTCCTGCCCCTGACAACCACTGTTCTACTTTCTGTTGATGAATTTGACTTCTCTAGATACTTCATATAAGTGAAATCATATATATTTGTATTTTTGTGTCTGGTTTATATCACTTAGCATAATGTCTTCAAGGTTCATCCATGGTGTAGCATGTGCCAGAATTCCTTACTTCTTAAGGCTGAAAAAAATACTCTATTGCATGTATGTATACACCACATTTTGTCGATCCATTCATTCACTGATGGCCTAGGTTATTTCTTCCTTTTGGCTAGTGTGAAGAATGCTGCTATGAATATTGGTGTAGATACAGCTGTTCCAAGTCCCTGCTTTCAATTCTTTTGTTTGTATACCCAGAAATGGAATTGCTGGATCAAATAGTAATTCTGTGTTTAATGTTTTGAGGAACCTCCATATAATTTCCCACAGTGGCTGCACCTCTTTACATTGCTACCAACAGTGCGCTAGGTTTCCAATTTCTCCACACCCTTGCTGCCACTTGGGTTTTCTTTTTAATAGCTATCCTAATGGGTGCACTGTGGCCAGGTTATCTGAATCTTACCTCTGGAATATAATTGCTTTCCCTCAAATGAAGCTTTCATGCAAAGTATGCTCACAATACCTAAAAGGTTACTCAGCTGGGACTTCACTGAGTTCCTAGTGCAGGACTGATTGTATGCCTGCGTGCTCACTTGCTGTGTGGTAGAATTGGGCTCTAGACTTGCTTCCTTATAACCTGGTAGCCAGATTATAAGGAATAACTACCAGCTTCTAAGGACAGCTCCCATCATACAACAAAAGAACCTTAGAGTCAGGCCTCTTAAATTGGCTTAGGTGGGTTTTCAATGTGTGTGTGTGTTGGGGAGGGGGCGGGGGGAGGCAGCAGGGGATGGAGTCTCTGATATAAATTCCATTTACTTCATGGTTTTCCCCAGAGACAGCACCATTATTCCTATTAACTAACCCCAGAGTAATCCCCTGATGATAACACTTTGGTTCTAGACATACAGCCCCAGGAGACATGTCAAGTGCTCCACAGCAGGGTTAGAAATCACTCAGCTTTTCCAGAACTCAGGCCCATCTCAACCCTCATCGGTCCTCTGGCTTATCAGCACATACCTGTCCACTGTGGCTGGGGCCATGGCCCTGTGAGCAAGATGTGGTCTGAGCCCATGGCTGAACATCCCTTTGTTTTCACTCGCCTGGCGGTAGGTGCTCCAGAAAATCCCACTCAGAAGGATCACAAACCCCAGAGGCAGAAGCAAATAGGCCAGGATCAGGTTCCAGCGACAGTTGAACGTGGAGCCTGAGGAGATGAAGAAGGCCCCCAGGCAGATGATCAGAAAGCCTGTCAGAAGGGCAAGGGCACAGAGGACTGCACCGGTTCTGTTCCGCATCCCTGCTTCTTGGGAACCCGGCTCCCTGACCCTGCCACTCCCCTGCTTCCCCTGCTCAGAGAGAATGCTCTCATTAGCCAGCTTGTAGCTTTATACCTCTGGGACCAATTGGCCTTTGGACAATTAAATGAAGCAGGCACTTAGAAGGTACTCATTAACCATTGAAAGTAACTATAATGTATATTGGAGGATTAACCTAAAAACACAGCACTGTGTACTACAGGAAGGAGTGGCTTCTCATAGCTGCCTTGTTCTTCTGAGTGGAGAGGACCCTCTGCTGACACCAGCTATTTGAGGGGAGGTCTCTCATCATGAATTACAAGAACACTGGTATCTTAATCCCTACTGTGGGTAATTCCCCACCAATGCTAGAGAAATTGGCATTCCTTGATGTACTATCTTCTTTGTGGCTTAGCAGGAAGTCCCTTGATTTCTTACTTCTTCCTCTGTACTAAAAAGACTTTTTCAAAAGGCCCTTAACATGTCGTCTTGCTTCTCTCACTGACTCTCCCTTTATTGCCTTTGTACTATGATATTGAAAAAATTCCGAGAGAAAATCTCTTGGAGTGAACTCCCTGATTCCTTCTCTGCTGACAAGCAGGAGGGGAAGAGTGCTGAGAGAATTGTAATAGACAGAGCTTTGGGAATTGGGAGGGATTTCTGTGAGTAGTTGTAAAAGGTGATGATGTGGTGACTTCTGCTCTGATTCTGATTTTGTATCTTTCCCATTGTTGGTGTCCAAATGTTGAGATCCAAGGGTCATTTCTGCTTATCACATAGGTGTTGGATAAAAATATTTTGCTATTGCCCAACCACTGGCCACCATTTTTGGCTTAGAGAAATATTTGAACCAGTTCCCACCCATCCTGCTAAAAAAAAAAAAAAAAAAGCCACAGGCATTTGATAAAAGAGCATTCTCTGAAATACACAGCATGTTACCACCTCCACACAAAACAAATAAATTCTTGTGAGAAGCTCTGCCTAATCAAACCGCACTCTCCCTTACACACATCTTAGGGTCTCACAGAGCATACTAACATATTAAAGGCCCTGAAAATCCTGTAATCTTCTTCCCCTCATAAAATATATATTTAAAAACTATGTTTTGATAGATGCTGCTAAAAAATGTTTCCTGCCCTCTCCCCCCATACTTTTGCTCTATGTAGTGTTGCCTCAAAAAATCTTTTTAGAACCCACTTCTCTTTTTTTTATTCCAGAATGTATTTCTTCCATCTTGACTGTCTTTAGTTGCAGACACCCTATTCTAGATCTGGGTCATGCCCTAATTCTTTCATTTTTTATTTGATGTATGTCCCTGCCCAGGGCGGGGGGGGGGGG